CAAACTATCAGCTCAGAGAATCAAATAGCTGGGTAAGGAAAACCTCCTAATACAATATTGCCATGAAGTTCTAACATTCTTCTGTGAGGATTTAGTCATATGTGCTACTATGAGCAATGAAAGACTGAAGGAGAGTGGAAAAAAGGAATAAACTGTGAAATTTAGAGGAGGTGCTGACTTCATATACAATTAGATATAGATAAGGCTATTACTGAGGAAGTAAGACTAACATCCTAAATTCCCATTAACCACTTCAAGCCCATAGTAGCATCAATCATAGAATGTAATACAGGTTTCAGAAAGAAAGGGTAGGTTTTTGGTTGAGGCGGTAGATGGTGAATCAGGAAATGTGGGCCCAGTTCCCAGCTCTGATAGAAACTTCCTTTTGTGAACCTGGACAAATCACTGAATTGGCATCCATAAAATGAGAATAATGATGCTATTTTCTTTCTCCCAACCTTCGTCTTTTATATCTATCCTGTAAGCTCTTGGGGGCAAGGTCTGAGGCTTAGTATGTGTTTTTACAGCATCTAACACAACGAAGACCTGCTCTTGGTTGGGACCGCTAGGAACTACTTCTAATATAAACAATAAATAATTAGAGCTGGTCGAGAGTTTTTCAATGGAAGGTGCCAATTTATTGAAACAAACTTTTTGCAGAAATTTATCATCTTCGTTGGGAAGGTTTTTCAGGTCCAGGAAGCAATTTCTAGCCAAAACCACAGAGAAACCCACCCCAAAATAGCCAATAGACTGGTGGTTAGGGCTGGGCTATAGACGATCCAGGTTTTAAGTCCCTGCTCAGCCTGAATTGGAGCAGGGACTTGAAGCTGGTTCCCCTACACTGCTGGTAAATGCCCCAATGACTAGGCTACAGAGTCAGTCTCTCTCTGGCCCAGTGAACATTTAATTAGTTCTTTCTCATGTTTTCATTTCAAATTTCAAAACCTCAAATTTCTTTTGCAGAATGGAACTCTTGCTTTCCAGCCAGCACTATAAATAATAATGATGATGTTTTACCTTCACATTTTAGCGTAGGGTGTGTTGCTGGTACAAAACTGGTACAGAGAAGCAAGGAAAGGAAACACAGAAAAGAAAGGATTAAAAAAGAAAGACGTGAAATGGCAATAAGGTTTACATGGGTACAGCAACAACATTTCACCTTGTAAGGGTCATATATGCAGCCTGATGCCCACTGGACTTTATGAAATATGATCTTATTGGGTGGGGGGGGGGATATTTGCACTTTGCAAAACTCCAAAGAAATCCTACTCTTCTAAGTTGTGAATGCACTTCCTACTGGAAAACACACCCCACAGAGATCTTGTGCCTTTGGAGGCATGCCAAACGTGCAGTGCATGCAAAACCAACCTCCCAACATCATGCAAGGTCCACACAGCTGCTAGGATGCTGAAATGTACTTGATCATTAATCCTATCCCACCCACCCCAAAAATCAACGACTTGGACCTCTGCCACTAACACCTGATATAGATAGCTCAGGGTCTGAAAAAAATGTGTCAGATCGATGTACACACACGTGTGGTGAAGGAGTATTGGTTAGTGTGGTAGACCTTTGAAAAACCCAGACAGTCAGCATTTAACTGACATACAACCTCAAGCAGCCAAACTAAGTTTGTTATTCTAGGGATGGAATTGAGACTTCACAATAAAAATTACTCATGTAACTATTCATGGAAAGGTAAAATTAGATAGGTAATTAATATCACTTATGAAAGTCAAAATTAGAAAAGTAATTAATACTTTGCTCAAGGTTAGTTAGGAGATAGACTACAGAACTGTAAACAAGACAATCACTCTACAGTCAAGTACTTGTTAGTTTTGTCATAAATACATTTCACTCCAAACAAGAGTGCAGTTGAAAATATGATGCCTACATTCTAGTAAATCTTTAGTGAAGCTTGGTTTGTTAAAGATGAGACAACGTATGCAGAATTGCAGTTAGTGAAGTCATAGTAGCAGCGAGATCTATGGTGTAGGCTCTCTGCATGGTTTTCTTTGCCAATATGTGCATTAAAATTTTAGGCTTGAATTACATTATACATTATAGGATTACTGAATCTTGGGACACAGTTATAAAAGTCATCTATACTGTCTTCATAAGCATCATCATTAGGTGAATAGTCAACAACAATATAAAGTACTCAATTTCATTTAAACTGGGTTACTTATCTTGAGCTGATCTTAATCAAACCCTCATATCATTCTTGCACAGGAACGTGTGGTGAGAAAACCAGCTACAGTATGCACTTTTCCTTTATCATTGCTAAAATCTTTGCCATCCTGTGAGCAGTAGTACAAGATAGGGTTCAAGAGTCAACTAGTAGATAGTCTTGAACTACCAAACATAGAGAACTATGTTTTTGTTTTAGTTAGAGAAGCGTCATGACCTGCTTGTATATACAATGTATGTTATACCACTTTGGGGATAATACGAGTATTTTTTTTATGTAAGCAGAATTACCCGAAGAGGAGAGGGTGATATTTCTATTCATTTGCATTGTGGAAGAATAATCAAATAAGTGAGTTAAAAATATCAGTTAAGTTCATCAACTTCTCAACACACCTGCTGTTCTCCATTTCAGTTCAAACACTTCCAGGGCAGAAAGTTAAATCATTATTAGAGAAGAGAAAACAGAATGATGAAGACATTAGACTGCCTGTTTCTAATACACCCGTGCCGATTTACTGTCAGTCAGTGACTATGGATTTTTAAAAAGCAGTTAACACGAAAGAAATGTTAAGAACAATTATCTCATGTCCAGTTGGAACATTAGCCCGTTAGACAGAAGGGCTCATTCCTTTCAGTCTGCCAACATTTTAGTAAATGACACTGGCCCTTTAACAGATGGGATACATACTTCTTAGCTTGCCAGTATCCTAATAAAAGACACTGGCTTCTTTAAAATGAAGGACACATACCTCTCAAATTGCCAGCATCCAAACTGGGAATCAGCAGTTTAAAATAAAGGTGGCATTCAACTGCCTGGCAAAACCAGGGACATGCTACAGAAATTTTAAAGCAAATGGTATAAATCTTACTCTGAAATTATTTAATTTAGATAAACTACCTATTAAAACATTGGGTAAGTATATTCAATATCAGTACAGCAGTAACTGGATAGCCCACCATCTCCTGAAATGAGTGGAATAAATATTATTAGTGACCTTTGGGATATTTTCTCCCATCAAATCCCATTAGTCACCAGGTCACATGACTAAAATACATTGTGCAATAGTCTCCCAACTGGGTAACAGTGCATGAAGGGAGGCTAGATGTCTCAAATGGCTTGTGCCCAGCAACACAAAGGTAGGGCTGTCCTCTTAGCTCTTGTGTGTGTGACATCCCTGCGAAGAGAGAGAAGGCAGCTGCCTGGGTACATTGAGAAAGCAGCGATGCCCATTTTCTCCCCATCTCCCAACGAGCAGAATACTCTAATGAGGGTAGGAGGGCCCTGCAGTGTGCCTCCCTCCCCAGGTAACACACACTACCACAGCGTGGGACGTCTCATATGAAAAGCACGTGCCACTATTGCTTGAGCTAAGAGACTGCGTCCCCTTGATGGCACCTGTAGCAGTCTCATTAACCTCTTACGTGCACCTAGGGTGACCAGATGTCCCGATTTTATAGGGACAGTCCCGATTTTTGGGTCTTTTTCTTATATAGGCTCCTATTGCTCCCCACCCCCTGTCCCGATTTTTCACATTTGCTGTCTGGTCACCCTACGTGCACCATCTACTGGAGGGGAACAAAGACCCACTTTGTGGGAGTGTGGTTGCACCCAGAAGGCTAGTCTTTATTGGGGAGCAGGAGAGAAGCGTTTGCTCACCTTCGGGGCAGCACTGCAAGGATTACCTATTTTTCCAGGCTTTTTCAAGAGTGGGAACTCAGGAGGGTGGGAGTCAGGTGAAGTAAAAGCTATTAGTTCTATTGGGCTGGAAAGGCAGCGAGGTTGTTGAGATTATGGATGGGACAGATACAGTCAAACCCCGCAATAAGGCGCCCCGCCATAACGCGAAATCGCATATAACGCGATCACAATTTGGCCCCCCTTTAAGACACACAGTAATTCAGTACTGTATGTACTGTACCAGTGGTCCGCAACGCCATGATGGCTGCCGGGACATTGATGTGCCCCCGCCTAGTGCCAGGCAGGGGAGAGAAGCTGCGGCCCCGCGCCTGCCGGGGACAGAGAACAACAGGGCTGCCGGCGCCGGTGCTCTCTATCCCCGGCAGGTGCGGGGCCACAGCTTCTCTCCCCTCTGGGCACTAGGGGCACTAGGCGGCGCACATCAATGCACTGCCTTGGGGACCACTGACAGGCTTGAAACCCCACTATACCACGACCCCGCATTTAGCGCGATGTAATTTTTTGGACCCCAAGCATCGCAGTATAGCGGGGTTTCAGTGTATATTTTATGAGAGAGGAAAAAAAACAAAAACAGAAGTAAAATAAAACCTCCTTGGTTTACAGTGGTTCTTCAGTCTCAGGACTATGGGGGCTAGAGAAAGAAAGGGAACCTGGAGGCCCATAAGAAGCTGCTCCTACTGCCTTATGGAGGAGAGGAGGAGCCCAGTGCACAGAGCTCTAGAAGTAGCAGCTCGTAGCATTGGGAGGGAAGGGAGGAGAAATGAGGCCAGGCCTCAGGAGAAGGTCCCCTTACTGGCATTGGGTAGTGTGGGCCCTGAAGAGGAGCTGCTGCACCAGGCTGGGCAGAGAATGCATTAAGCACTATCAGAGAAGTAGAGGAAGGAGAATAGATGTCGTTATGCAGTAGCCCAGCATGGCAGCAGCCTCAGGAAGGGAAAACCAGAAGTCTGGCCTAACAACGTTGCACTGCAGAGACCAACTGGCAGAGGGCTGGGATGGCATATCACTGGCCTAGGCCTGGAACAACTGCCCTGGCTTTCCCTCCTACATAGGAGGTCCTTGCCGTCTGTTCTTCTAATCAACATAGATGTTTACACGATTTACTCACCTTTCACGCTCATCTTTCATCTTTTCTAGTTCTTCTTCTCTCAGTGTGCTGTGTTTTGGATTTCCCTTCTCGTCAGCTTTCCCACCTTTCTCCTCTTTCTTCTTTCCAAATCTGATTAAGACATTAGGGAAGGGTCAGGAGAAGAGAGAATTAGTAGAGGAAAAATGCAATATTTACTGAGTAGACAACAAAGCTGGAGATTTACGCAACGATAACGTAGTGAGCGATTGCCTAGAGTAAGGGACCGATCGCAATAATAAAATTAATTACCAATAATTCTGACTATAGACCATTTACACAATACTTGATCATGAATGTATTTGAACCTTGAGTGCGTTAGAGAAATGACCACCCCGCAAGACCTGAAACAAAAGCAGCTGTTATGCTAAGCTATTATTAGCATACATTTCAAAGTAGCTGAAGTTTCTTCTTACCAGAGAATAGGCTCTCTGAAAGCGATCTTCAGAGCAATCATATGTGCCAACATATAGAGCTGACCACATGTTCTACTCCTATTGGTAAAAATTGTCACTCGTTCGCATATGGCTTTAATTTAAAGGTACAGGGTTGATTTTTGTTTAAAATCACAGGAAGGTGCAATCAGGATCAAAAATAAATCTTGCCCTATTGCAAGATGAGAGAGAGAGCGACTTCACAAAAGTCCCCTCTTAAATGCTTTACTTTCTATCTAATAATATATTATTATTTAATATTGATATTATGAGAGTGCTCCAGCGATCCCAGTCACTCCTGGGGTTCCATTGTATTAGGCATTGTACAAAGATATGCAAAACTATATTCCTTTCTTCACAGAGCTTGCAAGAGGTTATTAAGTGGCAGAGCTATATTTCATTTCTCATTGAGTTAGATCTTGAGGTTGGACACACACGGCATTATGGGCTAACCCTCCCATCCCCCCAAATTTGAATTCCTGAATTTCATATGTTACAAATGATCAGCCATTTTTATCATATTGCAACCTTCCAAGTACCTTTACATGCAAATTAAGGCTAACGATTTACAAAAAATATTTCTTCATGGAGCATGCTGTATTTTAACTTCATTACTACGCCTCACAACTTTTTGAATAGTTCTATGGAAGTCAGTAACATTTCCTCGGTGATCTTTCCTTTATCCTTTTTTATTTTTCATTTCAGTCCAAACTGCCTTCAGTACGATAGCTGAACTACACTACATAGACTTACGTTGTACATCACAGACCTCCTTTGACCAAAGCAGAATTACTGTGACTGTTCAGTCAGACTACGTCTACCTGTGGAGCTAGAGGTGTGAGGCCCAGCTCAAGCAGACATGCTCACATAAAAATAGTAGTGTAACCATGGTGTCATAGGCAGTGGAGAGTGGCGGTACACGTGGGGTCCTAGCGGCTGGCCCCTGCCCGGGGCTCCGCTCCTGGCCCCATGCCCACTCCCAGCTCTGGCCACAGCTTCTGCCCCCTTACCCCTCTACAGGTCCCCCCTCACAGAGACACAGCCCTGCCCCCAGCCTCAGCTTGGGGGAGGAGGGGCATGGACAGAGGTCAGGGGGCTGGCTGTCAGCACCCCCACTACTAAAAATGTTCCAGCGCCACTGCATGTTTGTGGGTGAGTGAGAGAAAGAGACATGGTGAGGGTGGAGGAGGAGGGGGAAGCAGCAGAGGTGCCAGGCAAGAGGACTTGACCCTCCCTTGTAAAGGTACAGAAGAGCTCCAGGGTGGCTCTTTGCAATGGAATGAGGAAGGAGACTGGGTATATTGGCGGTATGGTGGATGTGTCTGTACATACCTCATCTTACTCTTCCCCACATCTCTGCAGTAGCAGCCCCAGCCCCAAGTCCTATTTAAAGCAGTAATGGCCTGCTGCTCCAGAAAATACATGCCACTTTTTTAGGGGTCCCTGTTCCAAACACACACACCTGACCCACAAACAACACTTGGTTCTCCTTCTATAGGCCCATCTCACTACGGTGCTATCAGCATCATTAAATTTCATAACTGTGCTCTTTCCGAGCAGAAAGTCTACACTCTGGCTCCATTATCAGCTTCTGGGTTCCTGTGGTCTCCAGAGACTCTGGAGCCGCATACATGTGAAGGGGAGTTTTCCACAATCTGAGGGGGGAACGTTGCAGCTAGGAAGAGACGGGTAAGGGCAGGCATGTGTATACCTATATGTGAGAGAGTGATTGAGAACATGCGTGTGTGAGAGAATACTGAGCAAGAGAGATGGACACAGAGACTGGTGAAAAGACACAGGCATAAAAGAAAAGCTAGATGGGACCTTGCAGATGTAATTTCATATAGGAATGGAGGGAAAAAACAAACCAAACCAAACCCACCTACACACCTTAGTCCAACACCTGCAGGATGGATGGGAAAAGAATCTGTTTTCCAGCACCTGCATATTCACTGAAGATCTCTCATGGCAGTATCCTCAAGAGAGAATGTATTAGCTCTGGAGTCCTGGCCCTGATCTGACTCTGGCAGTTTGTTTATATTCTTCCTGCCTACAGTTCCCCCACAGTATCAGTTAGGGCTTTGTGGAGTCTAGTATTTGTTTTGAGTATTTATAGACGTTGAAAACATTATTCTTGGGCATTTTGTGTCGCTGTAGGGAGGTAAAGTTAGATATGTACCATACCAAAAAAAAAAAAAAGAAAAAGATTGAATCCCTCTGACTTTCAAGTCTGGGTATTATTTGTTGCTTACAAAAGGAAATATTTTTTTAATAAAATGATAATTTTGTTTGTAATAACTGCCAGTTTGACATCTCTTTGCACAAACACTGCTGTCTGCTAGTATAGCGGCTGTTGCCACAAATTGGTAAGATCAAATATAATTATAAACTAGCAATGGTGGGTTGGTCTTGATGAAAACAAGTTTTTCTGCTATTTTTGACTACACCCTAGAGCTGTGTGGGCTTACAATATTTACCTTCCATACTAAATATGCAATATGTTGCCTAAGGCTGGGGAAATGTTCTGATTTTGGCCTCTTCCGTTCATTACTAAACTCTTAAAAATCTATTCCTTATTATTATTATTGTTAATTATTATGATGATGTTTTGCAGAACAGCAAAAATCCAGCATGGACATTGAGAGAGAGAGAGAGAGAGAGGGTGTATATATAAATTGCAAAAATTCAACACCAATTTAAAAAAACATATGTACTGCATAAAACCACAAAATATCCAGCATCTTCTCTGACTGCATGTATACATCATTCCCTGAAAGTTATGGTATTTGCAAAGGTCTGTGTTCTCTGATGTGTTCTAAATTACCACAGACATATGCTGATGAAATTAACTTCTACTTATTGTAATTTTGCATAATTTTGTTATTTCTCTAACGTTTGGGGGACAAAATTCTTTCCTTGCTAACCTCACATTGGGCCTGATTCTAAACTCCCACTGAGTTTAATGTATGGGAACAAGGCTGTTGTAACAACTGTGTTATGGTATTAATCAAGTTAAGATGAAAATTTTGTGAAAAGTGAATGGCTTTTGGCCTTGAGGCTTACAAAATCTACAGACAACAAATAACTGGATTACAGTAAAACCTGCTTTTTATATTAAAATGATTGATATAAGACCGAAACCATTAGTGAATAAATTTATTGCACACCAATCTTTAAAAGCTCTTTCCACTACACTGTATGTAGCAAAATTCTCTTAAGGTACTATCTGACAGAATTGTTACTTATTCAAAAACTTATATAGCAAAGGGAGGAATATAATTAGAAGACCTGAAAAATGAATAGATTGTAAACAGCTGCTTAGATTGTTTTGTGTGGAATGAAACCACTTAAAATAATAATAGAGGGGAAAAAAACATGTAGCAAAGTTATGCATTTGTGTGTCCTACGCAATATAGTGATTACCTGGTGTAATGCCTGTGAAGGAAGTTGTAGACATAGAATCATTAGTATGCTTTTCACTATACAAGGGCAATATTCCAAATGCTCTGAGCACACTACTCCTGCATGCAGAAGTAGCGAGGGATTTTCTTTACGTGATCTGCCCTCAGAAAGATGAAAATGAGTGAGTCATCCTCATGTGAAAGCCCATGTACTATTCTTGCAAACGTGTTGTACTACTCAGATGGATTTCCCTTTGCTAGCATTAGCTTTACCCATTGAAAGAAATCACCAACGTCCTGAGAATAATTAAGGTATTTTCCATTAGAAACACTGAGTGAATCAACTCTTTGAATACCAAATGTGTGATTTCTTACTGGAATATTTATGACTATATTATTGGTTCTGGTATATAAAGAGGGAATGTTTATATTTCTACAGTGAATGTTAAAAGATTGTGAAAAAAATGCTACTGGACTGTTCATTCTGTCAATGTCTTCATCCCTTTTTAAATTTCAAGATTTCAAGGACAAAAGCAAACCTCCTGTTCTATGGTCCTTCCCTGTTGTTCCTGGGAAAAATGTCTTAAATGCAAGACCTAAAACTGTGGTCATGGCAACATTTCATTTCTGTGTTGAACAGTGAGTTTCCAGATCTCAAATGTGTTGATATTTGCTTCAAGGATTAAAAAGCAGGGAGGTCTATAAAGTCCCCATACTTCTAAGCAGGAGAAACATCTGCTGGGTACAGTCCCAAGCAGCTTGCTAGCTAAATTCAGCAATTGGGAATTCTTTAGTTAATTAGGTTCCCCCTATCGGTAGGTGTCACTGCAGCTAATAAAGAATGGAACTGCAAACATCTGTGGTGAAAGAAAAATAATTCAACTGGTCCAAGACATGAAAAAACCAAACACGCACATATCCCAACAATGCCATGGCATCTCCAGAAATTATTTGGAAAAAAACCCTAGAGTGATTTGTAAAGTGTATATAACAGAAACACCCATTTCACAGCAAATGAACAAAAAACCCATGCTGAGATTATTAAAGCAGCTCCACTATGAAAGACTAGAAATATAAAAATAACCCTCAAAATTAAATCTGAATGCAAGTAAGATGGGTGAGCAAGAAAGATAAAGATACTAATAAGGTATGATTTTCAGGTCCACACAGGGACTATAAAAAGCTTATTAACTGCTGCTACTGCCGTGTGTTTTAAGTTATTTTATCACTCAGCTTTACAGCAGAAGAAATACTCTCT